TTGCGAAAATGCACTTGGTTGTCAAAATGCCGTCACCCTCGACACGCATGAGACTCACTGTCGAGCAAAAGCGCTCACTATTGACGCACCACAAGTCCATCCTGGCATGAGAGGACTTGAATTGCGAGTTTGGGTTCAGCATGCGTTTGGGCTGCCACGTGTGCCCCAAAAGTCGACTATGCGACTATGTCTCAACACCCAGAGCGACCACATGGACGTGCATCCGTCACATAAATCAGCTAGCAAACCTCACCTACCGGACCTCTACTAACTCTAACTGCACGGGTATACTGGACGAAGAGATGTATGAGTTGATCGAGAGTATGAACAACCTTTGAGGAATGTAATGTGCGCATTGTTGTTGGTGTGCGTTTTGTCTTCTGGAGGTTGCCAGGGTATCAACCCCCTCCGAATATGATGTCCATTTTTGAATCCGAGCACTTTCCAATACCATATGTTAATTCTTGTCCAATCAGAATCGAGCTACCCATGAAACATGCCTTTTTAACTTTATACTTGTGTAAATTGAGAACCTCTAAAAACATATCGCCAATTGCGGGGGACTACTGTACATGACAGTGAAGTACCTTCGTATTACCGGTATGGTTGCGGTCTGGAGAAGTTGCAAAACATCTCTAATGCCACCGTGACCCTGGTACAAGGTAGTGTTGTGTTCAGGCATTATCAATATTGTATTGTATATTGTAGTGGTCTAGACAAGTCGAACAATCAATTATTGCAATATATATTGAATTGACAATAATAAACAATATATTGAGGCATGTATTTTACTCTAATTATGTCAGATTCGATGTCTTCATCATCTTCGTCAAAATCGTCATCATTTTCATCTTGACTGCCATGGACAACTGATGCCACAAGCGCTGATTCCAAAGATGTCGATTTGATCTCAAATACACCAGGATTTCGAGAGTTTTAGGACTCAATGACCGCCGATGTGGAGAGTACATACGCTTGCACTGGCTGAAAAACCGTTCAACGTCATTTGATGTAGGCACAATAAAGGACGTGCACACATAGCCAGAAGAAGACATTGCCGTTTCAAGGTCTCCAACGCAAAGTCATCCTCGCTCCGATGTGGGCCAGCATCCACAGTAGATGCGAAATTTTTGATTTGATTGGATCTTTAATGTTCTCTATCTCGCGAAATAGGGGTATTTGAGGCAATATGGCTACTGCATGTTGTGCGCCATGTCTTTGGCAGCGTTTTAGCCGTATTTGTGAGGGTGTGGGGCATCTGGTTCGTGAGATATTGCTTGTATATTGTTCAATATATTGAACAATACAATATTCTTTATTAGTCAATTCTATTGATATTGTTCGCCTGGACCAATACGTATTGCCCTCAATAGTATTGTCAATTACTAGTATTGATAACTAGTTACGTCAAACAATATATTGTTGACGATCCCTGGTTGTGATCACTACCTTGTACCATTATGGAAACCTTAGATCACGATATTTTTGGATGAATATACCGGTAGGAACCGCCACAATAACACGAGATATGCAATGTTCATTATACTTTACGTTAAAATGCAAAACAACTTTTGTCTACTTGACGGGGCACTTGCCCGTCTTCGGGTCCAACACTCCGTTGCCCCCTGCGATGCGGTAGCACTTGGTGGACGGGAAGATGGTCATGATGTTGCTAGACACGGCGAACGACACGCAGAAGACAAAAACGACAATGAGGAGCACCCCCGCCACTTTGCTCTTGCCACCACGCGCCTTCAACTCCTGAATTTCCGCCTTTTGGGGAGGCAGTAAAAACAACCAAAACAACGACGCCACTTTGAACCCGTACGAAATCATGAACACGTACGCGACGTCCCACCGCACCTCGAGCGTATCGGACTTGACGTCGTTCTGACTTACTTTGAAGAACGAGTTTATGTACTTGTAAAAGATGCTGGCAAACGGCCCCGTGAGATTGCCCACAGTGGTCACGAGGCCGTACGTGGCGCCTTCGTTGCCCTTGTCGGCTATTTCCACAGCGCAGAACGTGGACACGATGAAGCGGAGGCCGTCTGGAAAGTTATCGATCAACGCCACACCCGTGAAGAACCACTGGTTGCGCACAACGTCCCAGATGGTCATGTACACGACAAAGCCATCGATGATGATCATCCCGAGGGTGCCGGCGGCGATGGTCCACCGCCAGTTCCACTTGAGCCCCCACTTGGCCACAATCACCAACATGCTAGCGTACAGAACATTGCCAATTACGTTCGAGAGCGAATCATTGAGAGGTTCGACACCCGCCCAGTACGTCGCGATGGGCAAGCCCGCAGTGGTTCTGACGCCGTAGAACACGTTGCTCAGGAATCGAAACAAACAGATTTGCCACATCACGCGACTCTGGAGACATTCCCAAAACCTGCTGCACCATTGGGGGAAGGACGAGGGCTCAGTCTTCTTCTCCACGAGGAGGAATACCGTCGAGAGTACCACCAGCACACACGGCACCAAGACAATGCCATACGGAGCATTCGGCGACAACGCAAACGAAAATGACCCGGCGTAGTTAGGGCCGTTCAGTCCGAACCCAGACAACAAGTACGAGAAGACACCGGTGAGCTCGCGCACGGTGTAGATGGCGGTCTGGATGCGGCCGCGGATGGCTACGTGTTCTCGCTGGGCGTACTCGACCACCATCGCGTCCGACGCAGACGCAGACGAAACGTATCCAATCGCGATAAACATGGACAGAAGGATGAACAGCGTGCCGTTGTCGGGGGCGGACAAGTTAAAGTACTGCAGCTCGGACTTGGGCACCTTCTCCAACGGCGTACGGCAAAACTTGGTCTTTTCGCGGTTGCAAAATGGCTCGCCAAACGGAGAAAACGCCATCACACTCAGACAGATCATCGTGATGGTCCACCCGATCAAGATCCACGACTTGCGACGGTAGCCATAGATGGGGACGCAATCCGACAACAAGCCATAGAAGACCTTGAATGACCACCCGATCACAGTCAAAACCCTGTACGCTGACGTTTGGTACCCCTCCAAGTTGAGGTAGATGTTGAAGATGGGGTAGTTGAGTGCCGGCAGTATGCCGTACATGATTCCGATGGCACCGTACTGGATATACAGGGCAAACGCTTCGCGGGACCACAAGTCCAGCGCCCCACCATCGGCCAGCGCCCCATCTTCGAGGTCCTTGGGAGATTTCGCTTCGGTGTACACATCAACATCAACGTCTTTGGCCGTCTTAGAATGGATGTACGATAAGCGTTCCTCCAAGTCCGCTGCCTTGTTTTCGTGGCTTGTCATGACAGAAGCGAAATTGAAAATGAGTGACTCCACTAATTCCGCTGAATGTGGGGTAGATTCCTTGAACGTCGCAGGGTAACACTTCGTGGTAAGATTGTAGTGTAGCGAATCACAGGAAGGCATGGTGGCAAATCACAAGTTTATCGGACAGGCCAAGCATGTCGCGAATATTCTCCATAAATGTTCTGTCTCAAAAGCAAGAGGTTGCACAGCTGCTGTTGAAGGATAAGTACAAAGGGTTTAATTCTACAAAACTAACTTGTGCATCCATACTGTATCTATTACTCGTACTACGTAGTAATAGTACTGTTTCTGTAGTAGTACAGCTACAGTATAATACGTAGTAGTAACGTAGAATGCCAATTGTTGCAATACAACTCTTTTTGTTTTTCAGAGAATGGCCATAATTCCTGATAGAGGCAGGCATCCTTGTTGAATCCAGAAGTGCGTAAAGTGTAGATATTTTTCAGGGCAATCCACGAATTATCAACGTGCAACGTATTTCGCCCAATTGAGCTGTATACAGCTCTTCATATATGCTATACCTCTATAAAGTGGTGTGCCATTGTTGACGTATTCTTATGTACAGAGAACCGAGAAGGAACTCGCGCACAGTGGTATCGACACTATTTTTTTTCCATGGAGCATTCATAAATTCCGACGTCAACCAATAGTATTTTTTCATATTTTATATTTTAACCAATAGTATGCTCATAAAACGTTTGTAAATTGTATGATAGGATATAATAAAATTAATCAGATTGATCTGATTGCAAAATTATAATTCGTACTCGGAATCACAACTTGCGCATTCGCATACAATTCCCCATATATTTCAAAATACCACTGTGCGCGAGTTCCTACTCGGTTCTCTGTAGTACCTAGTATATGGCTACTAATATACATATTCAGAGGTTTGCTCTGTGATTGGCGCATTTCCAATTTAGGGATCAGTGGTTGGCTTAGCTTAATAACTGGTACGTCATTAATTGGCGCATACGCCATTAAACGTTACATCGAATCGAAGTAAATCATATTATTGGAATACTGATCTCCCCCCGACTTGGAAACGGGGTAAAATAAATATTCTCTATGACCTAATAATATAAAATGTTGAGGGAATGTTTGAATATTCAAATAACCTCGCACTTTTGACCGCAAATCACTTCAAGATGAAACAGCGGATGACACTGGCCGAGAAGAATGGTTTGTACGCGGAGCACAAGCGAAACCATCAAGCTACATACAATGAATTGGCTAAATGGGCGGCGAAAAAGTTCAAACTCGAGACAATTCCAACAAAATCTGCGATTGGAAAGGCTATTCAGCGAGGCGCATCGCAATCCCAGCGCGTAGACAGCAAATCACGATATATTGATCGTGCAGTTAAATCTCCCGAACTCGAAACCGAACTACTCCAATGGGTCCTACGTTGCGAGGAGCTTGGAGTCTGCCTCACGGGTGAGCTCATTCGCGAGCAGGCCAGGACAATCGCCACTCGTCTCGATCTGCCCCCTTCGCAATGTTCCACCTACTCAAAAGGCTGGCTTTATAAGTTCCAGCGCAAGCATGGCCTTACCAGCAAGATTCAGCATGGAGAAGCGGCGTCAACCCCACGCGAAGCTGTACGACAAGGCCGTAAAGAAGTCCTAAACA